AATTCATTTAATAACAACAGAATTTTACAGTTGGTTGCAATTTCCACCTGGTTTATACTTCCTTTTTTATTGGTCTTTCACATCATCATACTGTGTTAAGAATTTAAATCAGTGTTGTATGCATACAAAGCAATAACTACTCAAATTTCTTCAAAAGAAATGTTCTACACTCATTTAAATGCATTTATATTTAAACAGTTTTTCCATTTTGTAAAGATTTTAACTATTGTTAAAAAATTCTTTTGAAAGTTAATTATGCATTGAAATGTGGCAACAATTTTTTCAACATATTGGAAGCAGAAAGTAGTGATGTGAAGAGTCTAGGCATCAAATGTAAGGCAGCTTAGTGATTGAAACAATCAATGTGCAATAATCTGTTAACTGTTTATTGGAAATCAGTTTTACATTTCAAGTCTTTGAATCTTTGTCTGACCTTATCATATGTCACAATTATATCTATTCTGCTTTTCAATGACTTTTATAATGCAACAAAAATGCATGAAAAAATTTCACTTCAACTCTTAGTCGAAAAATTTTTATTTTGATGTTAATAGATATATTTTAAATTCAATTCATGAGTTTTTATTTGAATTTCTAATGGGTAAGTGAAATATGCTAGTGTGCAAACTTAAGCAGCTTTTTAATTTTCACAATAACTCCAGAAAATTAATATGATACATTAGTATAGGCTTTATTGACAGAAAGGCATTGTTACAAGAAACTGTCTGGCAAAGAGAGAGAACAACAAATCAAAGAGTCATAGTAAGGAATATGACCTCTTCTAACTGCAGTGGTTGGATTGCACCATTTGATGATACTCAACACCAGATTATCTAACAGTTCTTGAGTTAAGAGTTCCCATTTTTCAAGGAGCATGTGTTTCAGTTGTCTTATATTCTCCAGAGGGTGAAATCCTGCCATCAGACATCTTCCAAAAGTATCCCACAACCGTTTGCAGAGGAGCTAGCCAATGCATTCTGTGGTTATCTTCACTTTCCAAGAGCTCCTCAACTGCATGGGGCTTGTGTTGCTGTGCATTATCATCCATATGAACAAAGTTGTTACCAACGGAGAAAATGCACATGGGGGAGGGTAACTTTATCATAGTAACAGTCTCTGACATTGTGGACTGCCATTTATCCTTTTATCACACCGCTTCTCCATACAAGCATGCCAGAACCACTGAATAGTCTGTTTTCCCGATGTTAGCGGGATGAAAGTGTGTCCCTACCTCTCTTGATATCAACTGTGCCGAGAATCATTTGACTGATTGAAGAAACAACTCTCGTCGATAAAGAGGACGTGACTACATTGATGAAGTGTCCAGTCTTTATGTTCTCTACACCAGTGGAAATGGTGCTGCGTGTGCTGCTAGTGATATGCTGTGTTCACAAGGGCAGGTGCATAGGAAACCTTTATGAAGTCATTTGGCCACAGCAAACTGGGACACCTTGTTATCTGGTTGCCATGTGCAACTTCTGAACTGTGTTACCCACTGTCTGGTTTCGATCTCTTTTTGCATGCAGGGTGATATATCGGTCATCAGTCACCATTGCTTTCCATGGGTGACAACTATTAACATTTCATACTGCAGTACCTCTTGCAACAGTCTTATGAAACAATCAGTTCTAGACTCCTGGGAGACGTCAAACTACCCCCTTTTTCAAGCTTGTCAATCATTCTACGACGTGTAAAGGCATACTGATGTTTTCTTCAAGCTATACTGCCATGTACTCTGCACCCCCCTAAAATGGGGCAGTTATATGTCTCCTATTCTGCTGGGCCAATTGACGAAATTCAAATTGAGTTTTTGATGTCTGGAAAGCATGACTTATTATATGTATTAGATTTATGTGTAACGTTGTTCTAATATAGGTATTTTGACACAAAATTGAACTTTTTCTGAAAATGACGTACCAATTTTTTCCCATATTTTGATTCTACTATTCAAATTATGGCGAACTGCTAAGTTTCGTAAAAATCGCATGAGTAGTTTTTAAAAAATTAGTGCTCAAAGTTAATTGAGTCTGATATGTATTTGTTAATATATCTTTTAACTTAAAATCTCATTGCTCTCTTACGATGAAAAAAAGAAAAGGATTCTGTAAAAGGGTTGGTATAAATTAAGAAGTTAACAAAGTAAATCATTCTTGGCAAAAATTGATAAAATAAATTTTTGAATTTCTCTAAATTTCACAGCAAATTTTACAAAATTTAATATTTAGACATACTTTGAGTCGTAGAATCAAAATATGTCTAAATATTAAATTTTGTAAAATTTTCTGTGAAATTTACAAAGAAATTTAAAAATTTTGAGTCGTAGAATCAAAATATGGAAAAAAAATTGGCATGTCATTTCAGAAAAAGCCCCAGTTTTGTGTCAAAATACCTATGTTTGAATGATGCTGTATATAAAATCTAATATATATCCTAATTTGATTTGTTCTTCTAGAATTCTAAATTCAGGCTTAATCCAAATATACTTGCACATTTTTAATTATTTATTATTGAAATTTTAATTTTTAAATATTTTTATAAATTTTTCAAATAGAAGTTTGTATTATAACCCACAAAATCTTTAACATCATCTTAAAGATGTATTTCTAAGTACACCTGCAAAAATTTAGAGTTTTTTTATTTAAAATCTTCTAAGATGTACATGAATTTATATATTGGTGCGTTTTGAAATTTGGCATCTTTTATTTGAGCAATAATAGTGCCAAACGATAATATGCACTTTGTTAAAATTATTTGAAAGTATGAAGAATGACCTTTTTCCCCACTCGTTTACAATGAAAGAAAGAAAAGAATTCTGTAAAAGGGTTGCTATAAATTCAGAAGTTTACCAAGTAAATTATTCTCGGTGAAAACCGAAAAAAAATTGCTAAAATAAATTTTTTAATGTCTCTGTAAATTTTACAAAATTTAATATTTAGACATAATTTGAGTCGTAGAATCAAAATATGGAAGAAAATTGGCATGTCATTTCAGAAAATTCCAATTTTGTGTCAAAATACATATGTTAGAATGATGCTGTATATAAATCTAATATAAATCCTATGTTGCGCTTTTGAGACATGAAAAATACAATTTGAATTTCGTCAATTGACCCAGAAGAATAAAAGATACAGAACAGTCTTTTTTGTTTTTTTTTCTGGTGCAGAATACAAACTCACTTTCCCTTGCAGAAAAATGTCTAGAAATGCAAGTTCCTTTCATCTCTTTAGTTGCCTTACACTGTGCGCACTGGCTCTTCAAGTTTTGCATGTCGTGACAGCATCACCTTTGTGCCGTGTTGCCTTTTCATTTTACTGATCGCAAAAAGTCCTTTTCAAGAAATTCCTGGTTGTTTGTTGAAAAATGAATTTTTTGCTTACGTTTTGAACACTAGTCTATGTTTTGTAGATATTACTTATGTGCATGGTGTTGGTACAGGTAAAGAAGCATTATCAGTGTTTGGTATGTACACTCATTGCCATAAAAATTTGCACACCAAGAAATAATTGTGGGATCGTAACAAAACTTGGCATGAAGGTACATGTCGGATAGATATGCAAATGATTATAAATGCAGCGTGATTGTGCATAGCATAATGCCACTAGAGGACATTGAAGTTCGTTCTTCTTGGAGTATAAAACTGGTAAGCAAAGCTTGTTTGAGTGTACTTAATCTTTTGCTAAAGAAACGCTATGGTAGACATACCATTATGCTTCCATTGAAGCCAATATCAGCAGCTGTCAGAGTTCGAGAGGGGAAGAATCATCAGGATGATATAAGCTGGGTGGTCAGCTCGGCGAGTGGCTTGTCAGATAGGCTGTTTTGATTTTACTGTGAGGAGGTGTTGGAACCAGTGGACAGAATAGACGTCATTTACACGGTGACCAGTCTCAGGACAAACCAGTCGTTGAGAAGACCGTTACATCATACGACACGCATCATGACACAGGCAACAGCTTCATTACGGGCTCTTGTGTTTTGCCAAACCATCGCAAGATGCCTGGTTGATGGATATCTTGTATCGTGGCGCTCATTACGTGTGCTGCCAATGATACCCACCCACTGACACTTCTGTTTGGAGTGGTGTCGCACTCGACAGAATTGGTCTTTAATGGAATGGAACCAGGTCGTCTTCAGCGACGAATTTATATTCAATTTGACCAGTGATGTTCGTGTGTGGAGGCCCCGTGGTGAACGCCTCAATCCTGCCTTCGCTTTACAGCGACACATCGTTCCCACAGTTGGTATGATGTTAATGGGTGCCATTGCTTAAGATACACGGTCACCCCTAATATTAATCCATAGCACAATGACAAGCCAGCGGTACGTCCATGACATCCTTAAGCCACGTTTTGCCACTCGTGGCAGGGCTCCCAAGAGCCTGTTTTCAACAAGACAATGCTCGGCCACACAGCACGGATCTTACAAGATTGCCTCCGCCACATTAACACCCTTACCTAGCCTGCTCAATCCCAGATTTGTCAGCAATCGAGCATACCTGGGATCATTTGGGATGGCAAGTTGGACAGCCTACAAGATTGGCTGAACTAGACGCACGTTTACAGCAACTGTGGAACGAGATGTCTCAGGACATACGGAACTTGTATGCCTCAATGCCCGCTCGTATCACATCTTGCATTTGTGCTAGAGATGGTTCAACAGAATACTAAAACTTCCATTCATATGTACTTTTTCCTGCAATAAATGATAATTTTTTCTTTTGATTTTCTAATCACTTACTTGTATCAAAGTAGTACTTACATATGTAAAATTTCGTTTCATTCTGACAACTCTTTCTTGGTGCGCAAATTTTTATGGCAATGAGTGTATATCTGTTATCAGGAATATTTTAATTTTTATGCTTCATTTTATTTTAACATCCTCATTTTCATATTTTATGACTAGTTTTATTCAGTTGTATATATTTAATTTTTCTTCCATAAGTCGATTTCTAATGTTTTTATCTATGTAAAATTTTTAAAATTTCCTTCATTTCGATATAGGGGAACATTTGTAATTGAATATGTTGGTGAAATCATTAGCAGGAAAGAGTTCAAGCAACGTGTTAAGCAATACGCTAGAGAGAAGTCAAAGCATTATTATTTCATGGCTTTAAGAAGTGATGAAATAATAGATGCAACAAATAAAGGAAACCTCTCACGATTTATGAATCACAGTTGTGATCCTAACTGTGAAACACAAAAGGTAATCAGAAAATGTTTCTTTTAAACTAAATAAATCATGGTTCTCACAGAATAAATTATTCAATTTTACTGCTGCTCTCTGTGATTCTGATTCCGAAATCTAAAGAAAAACAATCTAATATTACCATTTTCTCTTAGCAGTAAGTTTTTTTTTTTTTTTTTTTTTTCAAGTTTTCAGTTTGGTGAGCAATCTTTTACATAAGTAAAAATATTCAATTAATTTTTACTTAATTAAAATATCATTGTTAGTTTAAAAAAGTGGTTTTCAGCCTTTTTTTATTTCACGGCCTTACTATTTTATACTTCTATTATTTCTCTTTTAAAAATTTAGCAATACATCTGTCTAGAACCACTGATTTAAGTTTTAATAATGCTAATTTTAAATTTTGTATTTAAATATATCAGTATTTGTTTTTTTCCTCCATATTTTTAGTATATGATCTTATAAGATTATTCTTGCATATAAGTAACTCCCTATAGGTTCACTTTGTAGAGACATTAGGTTAATTTTGGAAGCAGGAGAGATGAAAAATAAGCAATGCCTTCGCCGGGAATCAAACCATGGACCTCTGGAATATGTGCCCAGCGTGCTGATCGCTACACTCTGAAGGCATGCTAAGAAGGCGAGAAAAACCTTATATTTTTTGCCAACACTATACGGTTGAATCTAACTAGGTTTAACTGTATTTAGGGATATGTTTTGAATTATTAAATTGTCAAACTTGATGAATTCTGCAACTATGTGAATCAGGGTTGAGTTTTTTATTCATTTTTTTCCCCCAGGAGGGTGGCAAAAGTGGTGAAAATGGAAAAATAAAATTACTAATCCATTGTACTTTTCATGCAATTTTTACACTTTGTTTCATATTTTTCTACCTCTATGTTGCAGTTGTTATACTTGAGATTCAGCTTTAAATTAGTCTTTAAAGATATGCCACTTAAGGAATGATTATAACATAATACGTATTTTGGGGTAAAAGTCATGGCAACTATTTTTTTTCTTGAAGATACCAGTCCGGTTGGAAAATGTGACATATACAGACGAAAGGACAAGGTCTTAGCTACATGTGTGGACAATGAATAGCACTGAAATATCGTAACATGAATTTATTAGGGTAGTATACTGGGCAATATAGCCTTGACTGTGCAAAAGAATGATAACAAAATATACATAAAGTTCACATGACAAACCTGGGCCTAAAAACCTTCAATGTAGTCCCCTGCTACTGTCACCACATGCTGCCAGCGATGTGGGAGGCGCTGAATACCATCAGCCTCATCATTTGCCGCACCATGTGTGAATCAGGTCATCTGTTGGCGCACAGCATTGGCAATGTCCTCTCGTGTTGCAAACCACCTACAACGTATTGGTTCCTTAATCTTGGGAATGAGATCAAAGTCACAGGGTGAAAGGTCAGGAGAGTACGGTGGGTGCTCCAATTCTTCCCATCCCCAACGTTGGAGTAGCTGCCGTACACACTCTGCTTTATGTGGTCTTGCATTGTCGTGCAGAATTATTGCACTGTCCACAAGATCCAGACGTTTATCCCAAACACCACATCAAACCTGTCGCACCAGGAAGTCCCTGTAGTACTGTGCGATCACTGTTCTGCCATGAGGAACAAAGTGGCAAACGATGGAACCCCTGACGTCATATGCGATAATCACCATCAATTTGACTGAAGAAGGATTCTGACGCTAGCTCACTACGCACTATCCTGTGGATGGTGCATTCTCGATGCCACTTGCCCTCTCTAACTCCAGTATTGTTCATCGTCTGTCTTCATCCATGAGGTACTCGATGACAGCATGTGCCAATTTGGTCCGCACACTCACCGGTCGTTCCGAATGTTGCTCATCACTGGTTGACACACGTCCTTGCTGAAACTTTCCTACCCACCATGTTACTGTACGATATGGTAGGGCATTATTCCTGAGGGCTTCTACTAATTCACTGTGACTTTCCATCGCATTTCTCCCTCGGAGAACGGCTATTTTGATGTAAACTCGCTACTCAACACGGGTTACTTCCATCTTGCACGGCACTCACCAACTGACTGATTTGAGAGCCCTCGCTATGACAGAGCCATCTGTTGTTCTGCATACCCACTTTGCCTGCAGAACTTCCACACGACACATATATGTTTTGTAATCCGTTCACATATCTACAAAGAAAAAAATAGTTGCCATGACTTTTGCCCCAACCCTCGTAATTTTAGTATAAAATAAAGAGGCAGAATTGCACTTTGTTTACTTTAAAAAAGTAAAATTCTTAAAGCTATTCAACAATATTTTCAATATTGCTTAATGAAATAAAAGTTTTGCAGGAGTTTCTAGTTAAAAGTTTCTTTCAACTATTAGAATAAATGAAAGAAAACTGAAACTGTGCTTTCAGTAGCAGCCAAACTTGGCAGCAAGTTTGTAACTGTGTAATAAGTCGCAAATTTTCTAAACACCTTCCCCGAATTTATAAGCTGTAAGGGATTCAAGAACATTAGCAAAAAATATGTTTGGGCTAGTGGGAGAGTTTTATTTTTAACCTTTTCAAGTGTGTTTCTTTTGTTCGTATTTTTGTAATATGGTTACGTAAATATGCTAATGGTAAAACTATTCGGTTGAAATGTTTTTTGAAAGAGCACCGCAAATCACAAGATGGTACTAATGTTGATTATGATTGATCTGTGTCCTATTCAAAGCATTTGCAACTGATTTCAGCTACAAGAGCAAATCTTTGATGCTACAATAAAAATTATAGGTACTGACAGTTTTTAGAATATTTAAAACAATTGCGCTAGTATAATCATTAGCAATTTTAGTGTAATGGCTGTGATTCTTAATAAAGGTTTCTAATGCTTCTAAAGACTGTTCCAATAAATATTGCAAAGCAATTGTTATTTTATTTTATTACATAATCTCTACATTCGTTTAGCCAAGCAGCTGGAGTAAGATGATTTTGGAAATACTTTTGCACATTAATCGCCTTGTTGCTAATAATAGTGTTACATATTAAAAGACTAAGCCTATGATCAGAACATCCACACATTATAAATATATCAGTTATCTTATTTCCTGTCTAATTTTCCTCCATAATTTTTTTAATTATTTGTTATTTTTTATTGTATACTGAAATTTATTTTGTACATTTATTATACTTCACTGTTTTAAATTATGCTGCCTTTTTTTACCCCTTAATCTTCCATATCCCCCCAACAAATGATTTTTCACTTAACCTGGTTATATGCTTCTGTAATAAGTCATTATGGCTATTATGTCAGCTATAAATTACAAGAATGTCATTTTGCCAGCTGCTGTTTTTATCATTTCATTTTTCATTTTATTATGAATTTTGGTGTGAAGGTAACTCACAGGAGATCTTCAAATAGCTAAACTAGATAAAAAAGACGAAGCAAATTTTTGGAGAGTTCATTTTTCTCAACTGAAGCTTTCCAGTGTGCATATATTCAAAGATAGCTGAATTAACACATTTTAAGACATGATTTCTCTGCATATTAAATATCCTTTTTCCAACTCCTACAGTATGAAATAGAATTCCACCATTATCTTTGAGAAAAGTCGGTGTCAGTTACCCTGGCTGCAACATTACTGTGAACATGATTGCATTTCTTGCAGTCTGCAAAAATATTGTCATCTTTGAGTTCTTGGAAGTACCCCCGTACTGTTGTTTGTGTTGACTTCCATTGTCCATATTCTGTGCATAATTTTGACACAGATAATCCAATTTTTTTACAGCCATTCCACTTTTTGCCTGACTTGCATTGAAACCTGCTTTTGCTTTGCAGTTAAAAGTCAGACTTTAATTTTTATAAGACAGCTGTAATAATAGCCTACAAAAAATTAATAAGCTTGATCAAATTAGAAAATTAAGGAAGAGCACAATTTAAACAGGGTTCATAGCAGTCCTTACAAGTGCTTATAAGTTCTTATATTTGAAAATAAAAATATAAAGGCCCTTATAGGTGCTTACTTTTTCAAAAAAAGCACTTATTTTTTTTTTTAGTACCTTTTTTTTTTTTTTTTTTAAGCGAATGCACATACCCCTGTATCAAAGCCAAAACTAAATAAACAACTTTTCTTCCTTATATGGAACATCAGGTGGTGAATCATACTTCTGGAAATAGCTTTTCACCCCTTTCTCTGATGTGCATGAGTACAAACAGGTGATGTCGTTTTATTGGTCAAAGAATTGTGAAAGCGGTAGAAAATTATCGATACATTCTGTATTCTTTTCCTCCCACCTAAGACTACATATGTTTGAATTTCTAATGAAGATTTTAATAATTTGCATTCTTGTTCGACGGGGTCACTTCATTATTTGTGTTTATTATGATCGTTATGCTTATAGTGTATGAATATTTATAATAATATATTTGCAGTAACTGCTGAAGTATAGATAAACTTAAAAAATGGGTTAACACAGATTAGCTTTCTTAGGAATAACATTTGGAATGGCTTAAATAAAGTGAAGGTAATCAAATAGTCAAAAAAAAATTTTTTTTTTTTGGCCAATGCATTATACAGTAGAGAAGTTGAGGGGTTCTTCCCTTTCTCCTCAAAATCTCGAATATTGAACCCGTTACAGTTCGCTGCAAAGCAAGCAACGGACTTTGTTTTGTCTAACTTTCCAATCTGGATTAAATAGGACTAAATTTTCTGCGGTCTATCAACCCAGGCAAAGAATGATTCTATTTCAGAAGTTTAACGCAGTCTGTTCAAAATTAAAATGAAAAACACCTCATATTGGTAAGTCATTTTCTTTCCTTTTGTTTATTTATTTATTCTCCAAATACCGGCAGCTGTTGATTCCGATTGCATAATATCACGTACGGAAGAATTAAGGCACACATATTCCACAAATAACATTTGCTGTATTTTGCAGAGATAAAAGCATTTTACTGTGCTTGCTAAGCATATTATCTTTTTGTTCCATTGGACTATTTTTATAAGATGCACATATCGAAATGTCAAAAGCATTATTTAGCC